CACAGCCTCCTCCAGCTCTGGACCTGCAGTCTACACAGAGTGAGAATCAATCGTCACTCCCTTTCCATGAGCTGCTTCTGAGGATGACTGACTAACACATGAAGAATCATCACAAGAGCAACCCCTTCACTTTGACAGCAGTAATCCAAAGGGCATAAACTGTAGACATACAAATCACACATACTACACAGTACGCTACAGAGGTCAATGTGACAAATCTATGAGCATAACCTCCGGTAAATGACGTACCGACATAAAACACAATTTCAGCATTTGGTTAAAGAAAAAAAACGGAATAAAGTTACAAGAACATTGGATACATTTACGAAATAGGTTACTCAACACACAAGCCAATAAAGCGTCACTAAAAGTGTAACACAGCTTACACTGTTACCGTAATCGAAAAACGTCGGAAAAAAACGAAAAACTCCAAAAACGATTTTTTCTCACTTAAAGTTCGTTTAAATTACTAAAAAAATGGTTCCAAATGCTCCAATGCGTGTTTTCGTCAGCGAATAAGAACTTGAAGGCAGCATGTCCGTTTCTCATTCAGCAGCCTAGCCTATTAGGTTAGCAACACACAAACAATACCAGAGCTGAAGCTGACAGGATTTTGCCTCGCTAGCTCAGTCTCTCACAGAGATGTGGGCCAAGCCTAGAGGCACGACGGTGACTTTCTGACTATTATTGTCCTTTATCTGAAGAAAATAAAGTGTTTTAGTGAATTGTGAGTGACAAAATCAGCCCTTAGACTACCCGGCTAGCCACAGCTAACGGCTCACCTTCAATGGAGATGACGTGCTCGCGGATCTGGTTCTGCAGCGCGAGGTCATCGATGCGCTCGATCAGGTCGTAGATGGCGTAGATGTTCGGGTGCACAGACTCGAAGCGGTGGATTTCGGCCCGGATGGCCGCCGAGTTGGACAGGACGAACTGCGAGCCGGCCGCCCCGGATTGGGCGCCGGGGCCCGACACGGACCCGCCGGACGACGACGAGCCGAACTGCGCGGGCATGGCCTGGGGGACCGGCACCGGTGCAGGAACCGGCACTGGACCCGGGCCTGGAGCGGGCATGGCTGGCTGCGCCTGCTGAGAGATGCCCGAGACTGACACGGAGACGGGCACGCTCGACTGGTAATTCATCTCAGGGCTGGCTGGATTTAGGGGAGATGCGAGGGGGGAAAACTAGTGAGGGGATGAGAGGAACAGACAACGCGTTCGGGAAACGGCAGGGAAAACGGGGAGAATCCGCAGTTTTAACCTGATCAAATAACCAAAAGAAACACGGTGTGATTATAATCGATGCATCAACGGTCAAGTCTCCGCCTGTAACGATCCGCGCCTCTCGCTCATATTACCAAAACTTGACTCTGGACCATTGTTCCTCCGTGACGGGCTCTTTTCTTTTTCGTCCTTGTGACAGCAGGACACACCTTCTCGCGCCGCTTTCTCACGAACCGAGTCGTTTGTTTTGCTCGCTGCTTCTCTCTCAGAAGCACACGATGCGCCCCAAGTCCGTTCACCGACTGAACGGGTTTCCACACTGAACTCATAAAAAACCCGTTTGAATCCTTCTTTGGTTCACGAAGACCCGCCCACCGCCCCATTCCGCCCCGCCCCCTCTTCCCCCGAATCACACACCCCTTCACCATCCTTCGCCAATACCCAGTGACGTCAAGCTCGAAATTCGATCCAATTGGATGACTTTGTGGGGACGAGATAAAGCAACGTACGCATTATTTGGATCCCTGACCATTATGCAACCGCATATTTTGCTCTTCTATACTATTATGTGCGTATTTATAAACTGTATATTTGTTTTCTTTTCAGTACAGAAACGCAATAATGAAATATGTATATATTAGCTCTGACCTGTAATTTCCCCTCGCACACACTGACCATTCATTCACGTAAACAGTTTACTGATCAACATTGGGTTCCAGCACTATAGAGAGTGTTGGTCAGTTTGAAGATTGCATCCAACCTCTCTGTAAGCAGGCATGGGCAGTAGTGCTGATACATGTTTGAAACACGCATCTGAAACTCAAAATATGCTCGTAGGAGAAATGTGTGCCTTTGAAAAATATAACTCACATTGGCATTGTCCTATCTATCAAACACTCATTCACAGCACGCATACAGCCACATCTAAGTGCTGTCATTTAACACTGTCTTGTATTTGTATTTTGCTGTCATTAGCTAACAAAAGTAATGTCTGACTTAAGCCACTAAACTCAAGTGCTCCGCTTTACCTGATGTCCCACTTAACCTAAACAGGCCTTAAGCATTCATCCCTTTGCTTTGACATGCTGAAATGATCTCTGAAATAATCAACTCCCTTCTCCAAGTTACATGATTACTTTCCATTGTCTACCTGTGTGCTGTTGAGGTGATTTCAGAACAAATACATCTGTGTCTGGGAGCCTCTCCACTCTAAGGAAGCACTAAAACATGAAGACCAAAGAATGTTCCAAATACATCCAATACAAGATTTTTCAATAAGATATAAGAACATTTCCAAGGCTTTGAGTACATGTCAAAGCACAGTGAAAATCATCTTTAAACAGATGAGAAAAAAAGCAAAGTGTGGTGAATACTCATTACTGTATTTATTGTACTGTACTTATTACTGTATCAACTTTTTTGCTGCCTCAGGTGCATGCACTTTGTCACTAGCATTGTCATTAGCTTGGGAATTTGCAGCCAACAGTCAACACCGCTGCATAAAACCAAACCTTTTAGTGTAATTTGTATATGTTTTAATGTTCTGAGTTGTACACTTGAGATAGGACAATAACGCTACATATTGGCTTGATTTTAGCCACAGAGAACACAATTAAATGCTTCTTTGAGTGCCTACGTACTTAATACATTGTACACAGGATATGATAGCAATAGTGTAAAAGTCATCAGAATCTTTACTGATACCTGCTCTCTGCACCGGAATCTCGGCATACATTCAGACTATATTGAAATTACTGAGAAATAGCAGCATTACTCCACCTTCTAATATAAACTAATTCTGTCTGAATAGGAATTTAGACACCTAAGACACTTTGAATACCTTCTATGGCACTGAGACTCTTGAAACAACTTCTATGACACATGGACAACATTGACACCTTGTATTCTATGACACTAAGAGACCTATAGCACCTTATATCACCCTTATCCTATGAGGCAGATTGACTACAGTTTACAGACACTTTGCACTGGTAGCAGTGGCCAGTTTAGCTTCCATGCAAGAAATACAGGCGCAACTTTGTAGTTAACATATGACCAGCACAATATAACCGCATGTTTGGCTAACATGCTTTTTGTATGAAAGCCCATTTCCACTTTATAGGACAAAAATATTTTTCAATCCTTTTTTCAGGTTCAAATGTTTGCTCATTTGGCTGAAGTAATTACTTATTTTTTCTCAATATTTTTGACTTAAGTCGGAATAATGACTAATTTGTAAAAAAGAATTATTACTCATTGAGAAAATGTGATTATATCAACATTATGAGTTATTATTTTGAAAAAAGAAAACATTAATTTGTCAGAAATTAGAGGAAATTCAGTAATTATTTTTTCTTTTCTCTTTTGAAACACCTGAAATATTAGGAAAAAAGCTGTTTGAAACATAATTTTTCTAAAACTATGACAAGGTGTTTCAACTTGCTTGGCCTAAGAACACCAGTGGCATCTTGTGTCACCTTCTATGACACTAAGACACTTTGTATCACCTTCAAGACACTAGAACACCTATGACATCTTGTATTACCCTCTATGACACCAGGACACCTGTGAAACTATGATACCTATGACACCTTGTATCACCTTCTATGGAACTATGACACCTTGTATCACTTTCTATGACATTTTATACAACAGTTAGTTCCGGCCACGCAAGCTGATTGGTTGAGAAGCATTCTAACCGTGCTGTTATTTCGCCATAACATCACGGGTTTTTCACAAACATTGTATCACTCCGCTGAGACGCCGCTGCTGAGCAACAACTTTGATAGGAGACTCTCAAGCCATTTGAATGTTTTTACTTCTCACTTTGTGCACAAACAGAAAATGGATACTTTGAAGATTACATTTGACCTACAGCCGATTTAGTCAGACTCTGAAGATGAGACTACACTAAATTCCCAAACCGTCATTACCACTGAGCAAGCTTTTCAGTCGGCAGTTGTGACAGAAAAACACCTACACAACCTGGAATTTAATAATTTCTTACTTTATTTATTTAACTGTTGTATAAAAGCAATAGAACACTCAAGGTCGTGTGTTATTTTGCGATAACACACTCCCTCTCGTGTTCTATTGCTTAAATAGCATATGTAACATATATGGCATCATATATTAATAAATATTAATCATCTTTATTGCTTACTACTATTTTTGTTTTGTTTATTTGTTCTTGTAATATGTTGTAAAACATACATTTTACTCTTTATTATAGGTTTCTCACAGTTATACAATGTGTAACTAGCAGATTGACTTTAACCAATGTGTGGAATGTATCTACAGATAGGTTTGAAATGCATGTTGTATGAAAGTTATTTCAAGTGATGTTTCTTCTTTCTCCGTCTCCTCTTTTGGTAATTAGCAACTATGTACTCTGCATTCCTCTTTATAATTCTGTGCTTGTTGTCAACTGACCAATATAAAGACAGCAAGTAAACCCCTAATGAGTACTGTTTGAAAACGTCTTGAACTAAGAAACAGCTATACCAGAATGTTTGAGGTTTGTCCTGTTTTTGTGTGGTAAATGTTAGAGCATAATGGAAGCAAACAGGATTTGAAAAATGCCGTCCCACGTGGTAACAATTTCCAGAGCCCGCAGCTGCTGTGGAGCACTGAAAAATTTCTTCAAGCTTCAGTTGAGGTACTGATACTGTGAAGCTTTGGGCCAGATTAGAGTACAACACTGCTTTAACCACCAACACAGGGTTCACTTATCGGCTTGACATCGTGGTCAGCTGTGCCACATTCCAGTTCTAGAGGTCTTCTTACAGCATTGTAGAGTAACATGTGCATGAACACTAATGTAAGTAAGTATTTATTTATAAAGCACATTTTAACCCAAAGTGCTGTACAAGGAGAACGCATTTAAGTAAAGGACAACATAGGACAATATCTAATGTATAACAAAAAAATACAGAAACAATCAGTTTACAAAGACAAAAGCTGATCAATAAAAAAGGGTTTTTAATCTAGACTTAAAAGCATCAATAGAGGGTGCAGACCTAATGTCCAAGGGTAGACTGTTCCACAGTCTCGGCACAGCAACAGCAAAGGCCTGGTCACCATTGAGTTTCAGCTAAGACCATGGCGCAGTCAGTAGCAGCTGATTTGATGACCTCAAGGACTTGGAGCCAGGATAGAGTTAAAGCAGATCTTCTATATAGGACGGTGCCACAGCATCTGATGACTTAAAAACAAATAAAAGAATTTTAAATGGGATCCTATAGTATAGAGGAAGCCAGCGTAAGGATGGCAAAATGGGAGTGATGTGGTCCTTTTTTGTGCCTGTGAGATGGCGAGCTGCCACATTTTGGACTCATTGCAAATTAGCTATTGAGGATTTACTGACACCCAAATACAAGAAGTTGCAGTAGTCTAAGCAAGATGTAATAAAAGCGTGGATAACCTTTTCCAGGTCTTGGGGTGACATGAATGCCTTAATCTTGGCGACTGATCTCAGTTGATAAAAGGAGATCCTAACAACAGACTTACTTTGTTTGTCAAACCTGAGGTCAGAATCAAATATAACCCCAAAGTTCTTTACCTGAGGCTTCACATGCCCCAGCAGCCCACCAAGATTATCCATTAAGAGACTGGTATGCCTGGGTGAGCCAAACAGAATCACTTCAGTTTTATCTTCATTTAATTGGAGAAAACTGCCTTCAAACTAACACTGAATTTCATACAAACATTCATTCAGACATTTGAGTGAGCATGGGTCTTCAGGCCGCAAGGGGAGATACAGCTAAGGATCATCGGCATAACAGTAAAACTGGATATCATCCTTCCATACTTCTTTGGAAGTATTTCTTCACTGGAGAAAGTGATCCTAAAGCCTATAACTGAGGACATACTACAGGTCTATTTACACTGCCAAAGGCATATGACAACATAGGAATACTCCCAGTCACTTGTGAAAGACATTTGTCTTCATTCAGAGATAAATAAACCATTCTCTCCAACATAGGCCTCCATTTGCCCCATTTCATAAGCACATCTTTAACTGTGACCACTGAAAACTCCCTACTACTGTGAAGATGCTGCAGGCAGTGGTTTCTGGCTGCCCTCTTTAAAAAAGTGAGAATCCAACTTATTAAACTTTATTAATTAAGAGATAAGAGCCCGAAAGTGCTGCTAGAGCTCAGAGGAGTCCCACTTTCGCACTATAAAATTTGACGTTTTCAGCCATTTTAACATCCTGAGATGCTGATAATGATTCAGCGATTAAATGTGGGCCGTTATTCATCAGGCAGCAAATTATTAAATGCAGTTTAACCTGTTTCAGACATAGATGTGAGATTGGTTTCTATGAGCGCTCATGTCAACTTGGTTTATTCAGCATTTTTTAAAGCTTTGGAAAAACGAAAAGCAATGGGTTGAAAAATTTGCCAAAATGATTACCCAGTTCCTGCATGCTCTGATTTACGTGGTCTAATGGGCCCCTGGAAATTTAAGAGGAAGGTCTGAATTCCCAATATTCAGTCTAAATTGGATTTGAAACTGAAATTGCTTACTTTTACAGTGATGTTGCCTTTGCCCATGTAGATTTTAATATCATACAGTGTATGTGTGCCATAGTAGCGCCACCTAACATCACATAAAAAATGGCACCAAAGGCATCAGAACAAATTGTTCAGATACTTTCTATAATACAAAGTCTTCTGTTTCCATCTGCTGGTGCAAAATGGAGTTGCACCATCTTGGTCCAAGAACTCTAGCTCTGTAGCCCACCTGCACTGCACAGTGTGGTGTTTTCTGCTCTAAATGATTAGAGCTTTATCCAGTGATGGGCCTCAGGTACGAGTAAAACATAAATGTGCAGTGCAGGTGAACTACACCCACTTATACTTCTTTAAAGTATAAAAATTCAGGAAAGTAACCAGTTACTTGTGCGCTCTGCAGCTGATGGACATGTTTCCGCTGCTTCACCACAGCCTAAATATCTGCTTTCCCTTCACTGAGGTCATGGAATAAAATATCTCTCCTATGCAAGGAGACAGCATTATGGTTTGCAACACTGACACTGACATTTTTTCCATTTTCGGCCTTCACATTTTCCCATAATACAGTTAAAGGTTTCCATTTAAATAAAAGGAGACAACCTTTCCAAATTTCCACTATGGTGGACATTAACGTGAATCTAGTCTAATCTAACATAATCATATCTTCCTTGCTTATGCTTTGCACAGTTCAAGATCTGAGAGCAAATGGCCAAGCTTGATTTGTAATACAGCCCGACCAATATAATGGTTGGCCAAAATTACAAGCCAATATTATTCAAACCTGATGTTTTTTATATATATATATAAACAGAAATACTACTGATAATGAATGACTTTTTTTCTTTCTAGACAACAGGATATAACCATAGACAGTTGTACATGCTGAACTGGTAAATTAGAATTCAAATTGTGGTTCAAACAACAAAAACTTTTAAAATGTATCCAAATCTAGCCTTTAGAATGAGGATAACTTGTAATTGCAAAGTTGTTCAGGTAAAAACTGAATCACATTGGTCCTGTTATTTATCTATAGGAAGGAGAAAAAATGGCAAGTGGCAAGGATTTTTTAAATAAAGTCTCATTTTGAGGTTCAAATTTTCAAATGATTTTTCAAATTTTCACTAATAATTTTTGCGTTTTAATAATTGTATTAAAACTTGCCAGGACCACACTGATTAATTAATATATGGAGACTATGGTGGGGGAAAAGTTGACATTTTTAACGTAACTATTTACCTACCAATGCCAGAGATTATTTCAAAACCAATTTTAAAATGGGCTGACCAAAATCCTAAGACTAGTTTGAAATGGGCTGTTTTCAAACAATTTACAGTGAAAGAAATATATCTTATGAAAACTTTTAAATGCAAAGTTTTTAGGCTTACTAAATTGCATTCTTTGAATCCAGTTTCATGTTTTCAAGTGAAATAATGTACAGGGTGTACTCGATTAGATTGTTCGGAAATTGTTCACTTCTATTAAAACTTCACAGGGTAATCAAGAGTCCCTACATAGACACACCAGTCAAGTTTCAGGAGGAAGTTCTACCTTTTGACCAAAAAGCAAAACAACAAAGAATTGTGGGTAGCCCCGCTCCCAGTGCTGCATTATTTATATTCCATTATATTATCAGACAGTATTGTTGGTTAGCAGAACCGATTGGTATCAGCTGTAAAATTTTTATATTGGTTTAATGCCCTAAGTTGTATTTTTAATTTAATATGAAAAGATAGTGCATGTGCATTGCCTTAAATAATGAATATCCCCTCGTATTCACGATATGTTGTTATTCCACATTAATTATTTATTATTTTACACAACTCTTAGGCCAGTTCTTAAATCATAGAAGGACGCTCTTGTCGCTCATTTGCTCGGCCAAGAATTAGTTCGCAATAAGCACATTGTGGATAAATATAGAGAGAAAAGTTTGGTCTATGAACAAATTACAGTAGATTCTCTTGATTAAGAGCCAGTGTGAGTGACCTTAACCCATGCACATATGGAATGCATGCAGTTACTTAGAAGCATTACACATAGTGTACAGTTATTGTGCCGTGCAGTTAGTGAGTTTGTGTATGTGTGTGCTACCTTAGCCTCCATTTTCATGTCCATTTTTATCCTAACAGATGGTGTCTTTGGCACTCGGCTGTGGGTGGGACGGCTCCTCAGGCGTGAGGGGGAAATATACAGTCGGCAGGGTTTTCCTATTGGCATCGCTTGGCTACCTAACCAGCTGCTCAGAGTGCAATCCTTTTCAAAAGCTCTCCACCCACTCTCTCTTGCTCTCTCCCTTTCTCGCTCTCTCTCTTCTTGACTTCTTGTACATCAGCTGAGTGGAAGCCACAAACAAAACATATTGTCAAATGAAAGAAATGGAAAAATGTTATGCAAGCAGCAGCTTTCAGAATAACATTGCATTTATTATTTCAAGAAGAGTGAAGATTTTGAGCTAGAATGTTGGTATATTGGAAGGTAAAATGTTTCCTAATCTGTACACTGATACTTAGCTCATTTGCAAAAATGTAAAAGAGATTTGTATGTTCAACACAACTTGAAAAAGGTGAAAAAGAAGTACAAACAATGACATCATTGTCGGATCAGCCAAACAAAACAGACTTTACTATTCAAATACTCACAAGCACAGGGATGCCCAAGTTTAGTCTTTTTAGCTAAAATCGAGCGTTTAAAATAATTATTTCAAAAAATTATATATTTTCTTGCTAAACCATATTTTAAAAATACAATTTTGTAGGAAAATAAGAAATAAATGAGTTCTATGTAGAAAAAAAATGCTTGTTCTCTCATTTGGTGAGGGGGTGGGGTTAGGGCAACTTGTGGCAGCCCTACTGTAGCCATTTACTTATGTATTTATTATTCATTTATTTTGCCAGTGTGCTCTAACAGTTGCTCTACATTGCACTCTTAAAGAGTTTGGTGACACTTTACTATAGCGCCATGTTCATAAGTCTTGCATGACACCAATATAAGCTTGTCATGACAACTGACTTGGGCCTACTTTTTCTAATAGGTGTCATTTGCATTTGCCAGATTTGTTGTCAAGTTGACATAACGTCTGTTTCAGGTGATGTTGACTGTTGTCTGACATAAGGTTGTGTTATGAGACTTTCTAGGGTAAAACAACACAGACTTTGTGGCTCAGTGTATGTCACAGTGACATAAAGCTGATAATTTGAGCTTGCCAAGTAAGAATTTTGTGTGGTAATATTACATTTTGTAATATTTTAGCTATGTCATATTTGCATCACTATGCCACTGTGATATACAGTAAGCTTTCAAGTTAGTTGTTATGACACGCATTTCTTTTACCCAAAAATGTTTCCACAATACAACAAACCACAATATCAGAAAAAAATCAATATCACGTGACAACTTGACATCAAGTTGACAACAGTAGACTTTATGACAAATGACACCTATTGGAATAACCTTTATAAATGTTTATATAGGTTTATGTCCTGAAGAGCGTATAAGGGGGTTATGTAGCCTTATAAAGGTTCTATGGCTGGTAACAACAATATTTACAGGTATCTTCAACCGATCCCTATCATGGTGCACTGTCCCTACCTGCCTAAAAACATCCACCATAGTACCAGTTCCAAAGCAGAATGCAGTAACCTGCCTGAATGATTACAGGCCAGTGGCATTAACATCAGTAATCATAAAATGTCAGAAAGACTGGTCCTCAAGTACATCAAGGCTGCTCTCCCACCTACTCTAGACCCTCACCAATATGCATACAGATCCAATAGGTCAACGGATGCTATTTCCACTTCCCTCCACAGTGTACTGCTCCACCTGGAAGAGCGAGGAACATACGCACATCTGCTGTTTGTGGATAACAGTTTTGCTTTTAATGCCATCGTACCCAGCAGACTGTTTTCCAAGATGACCAACTTAGGCCTCCACTATAACATCTGACTATGGAAACAGGACTTCTTAACAAACCATTCACAGTAAGTCAGGAGGGGCCCCAACTACTCTGCCACCCTGTCACTCAACATAGGAACTCCGCAAGGCTATGTGTTGAGCCCTTTCCTCTACTCTCTGTACACACAGGACTGCATACAAGCCCACAACATCAATGCTATCATCAAATTTGCAGACGACACAATGGTGGGACTGATCATTGATGGAGATGAGTCTGCCTACAGGGAGGAGGTACAGAGACTGACAGACTGGTGCACAGAAAATAACCTGGCACTAAACACACACACACACACACACGTCCTCTAAGCCACTTCTCCTTCTGGGTCGCGGTGGGAGCTGGCGCCTATCCCAGAAGTCATCAGGTGGAAGGCGACACTAAACACCAAAAAAAACAAAAGAACTGATCATTGACTTCAGGAAGAAGCAGGTTGACCACCAGCCACTGCACATAAACAATGACAGAGTGGAGAGGGTCTCTAGTTTTACATTCCTAGGAACCCACATCTCAGAAGATTACTCATGGACAATGAACAGAAATTCCTCGGGAGCGTCCTGACTTACGGGATACTTTTGTGGTACAGCAACAACTCAGCAGCTGACAAAAAGTCTCTGCAAAAAGTAATAAAGACAGCAGAGCAATTCACCAACACCGATCTGCCTACTTTGGAAGACGTCTACACCTCCCGGGGCTTACGGAAGGCATCCAGCATCATAAAGGTCCAATATCACCCAGCACATGAACTGTTTGAACTTTTCCTCTCTGGGGAGAGATTCAGGTCCATCTGAGCACAGGACACAAGACTGATAAATAGTTTTTAACCCAAAACCATTACTACACTGAACTCTGCACTGAAACAGTGCACCTCATAGGCACAACTGTGCAATATCTTATTTATTATTACTTATACATTATTTGAACCTGTGAAGAACTTTTTAACGGATGCATGTGAATGCTATATGTTTTATGTGTATATATATATATACATACATATATATATATATATATATATATATATATATATATATATATAAAGCATCATTTCAGGTTATGCACCTGAATTTCATTGTAGGTAAACATGCAATGACAATGAATGGAAATCTAATCTAATCTAATTTTCAAAGCACTTTTTGTGAACCATTTTTCAAAGGTTCTTTAAAGAATCATATGAAACAGGTTTTCCATCACAGAGAGGAACCATTTAACCAAAGAACCATTTAAACATTCAAATTGTTTTTTGAATTCTCATCGTTGTATATATAATAATTTTCTTCATTAAAGAACCCTTAAAGAACCACTTTGTATGGGTGTAGTAGCCTAAAATAAGAAGTATGATTACTTCAGTGAAATAATGACTCAAGCAGAAGCGCCTCACTGTGGTCAGCAGTGTGAAAAAATTGACAAAGGACAAGCCACAGGCCTGTCTGGAATATATTGTCTGGAGTGTTTTTAAGTGTGTAGCCACCAAGCTGGATGAATACACTGTTACTGTGACATCTTACTCTCTTAAAAAAAAAGGGGTCACAAAGGGTTCTTCTGGCAATACTATATTAGAACCATTAGAACTAGCATTAAAAATTGGGCTACTACTCTGTGTGTGTCCTCTTAAGAGTGCAGTTTACTTGCTTTGCTTTCTTTCAATTCTCTACTCGTTTCTCCTTTCTCTATTGGCCGACTGCCAACAACAATTCAACATGCTCAATCTGCTGACGAAAGCCAACAGTGTGAGACACACTGCACATGCTAGAGGCGACGGTCAGCCACTGATGCTCACTGACAGCCTGTTGGCACTCTAAAAAGACGCACTCTCAGAGTGCAGCATGATATTTTAACGCTAGTGCAAGTAGCACCATTTTTATCTATTTTTGTTCATTTTTAGACAAATAGTATTTGAAGATCATATTCCCAATGGGAAAATGTTTAATATTGTTAAGTATAAACATAAACACACAGAAGCTCTGAAAGTGCTAACATAAAATACAGCATGGGATAGTCACTTATTTAACGGACTACATACTACTGCACTTCCCGCTTTAGAGAGTTGTTCTTTTTCACACAGGTGCATGTATGCCGATCATCAGCTGTAGTCTTTACATTGTGTTTGAAAGAAAATTTTATTGGAAAGGTCAAAAGGCAATCATCAGCTGGCCTTTGCTTGCACTTGTTCTTCCTCACCCATTTGATGAATCAGGGCCCAAAATACAAAGCATGTAGAAGTGGACACAGGACAACCGTGTGAAAACGTCTGCAAGACATTACAATGTACGACAAGCCATCCCATCACACAATAGGGGATTGTTGGCTAGCTTGGAAAGCTCATGCTCACACAAATCTAAAACTCTACTGCTCACCCATACATACCACAGCACAAACATCATCACCCACCCAGCCACCCAGCCTGCACTGAAAATCTCTGAACAGGACATGTCATTACTTTTCCAGAGAGAGAAGGTCAGGAAGACACCAGACCCAGGTGGTGTTTCACCCTCCTCTCTGAGTTTTGACCAACATATACTCATAAATCTTTAACTGATCATTGGTGCTATGTGAAGTACCTTCCTGCTTTAAACAGTCCACAAAAAGGCCTATTCCCAAAAATGAAGTTATCAGGGCGATGGGTCTGATGTCCTTTAAGAGACTGGTATTGGCACATCTGAAAGATATCACAAATCCTAGTTTGCACATTGGACCATCATGTCTGATGATGCAGCGGACATAGGACTTTAGTACCCTGACTGCCCAATGACTTGTTCTTAAGAATCTTGTTCCTAGGGCCAGAATCATACACAAGTACGTGAATGCAGACACTCTGAGCTACACAGATGTGGTTTAGAGCATTGTTGTGTTCTACAGTGTGTCATAACACAATTTATTATGCAACGCAAGTGCAAACTGTATTCTGAGCATTACAGCAAGGGCCACTGTAATGGCAGCCAAGCCTGGCCAAGCTGTCTTGTACCACCAGCATGCCTTCTCTTGATAAACTGTCATAGCAAATGAGTAGTTGGATGAGTCTTTCACAAAAATGGTTTGTTTGCATAAAAATATACAGTGGGGTCCAAAAGTCTGAGACCACATGGAAAATCTGGGATTTGTTTCTTTTAAACCTGGAACTAAACAAGAGAGTTTAGTACAATTTAAAAACATTTAAAACAAAGAAAAGTTATGAGAAATAAAATGAATAATATATGTTTAAGATTCTGCACTATTTCTGGGTCTCTAATCAAATTTTAGCCAATTTGTGACATTGACCCTTTAAGGCCTTTGTACAAATAGGTCACATTTTGTTGTGTTATTCCTTCCACTGAAACACATGCTCAGGTGGAGTTCATCCACTCATCAGAGACTTTTGCACAAACTTTATGCCTGCGTTCATGACAGCT